ACTGGAGGTAACAGTGTGTTGGTTCGAATCCCAATGGAAACATGTATGAAAAAAGGTCCAAAAATGAAGGAAGGTCTAGATTGGATCCCTGACTAAGATATGACCGGTGGACAAATTGCGCGATCTGCCTCCGCAGTAACTCTAAGAGCGGGGTCATATGGGCTTAGGATTATTCCGGTGAAACTAGGATTACCTTAGTTAAGAAAAATAAAATAAAATAAAAATTCAGGCAGCTGGTAGCTTCGTTTGTTTGAAATTGTCTTTATCGAAGCAGAGAACATATATGATGTACTTGGACTAACATGTTGTTCCATTTTTATATTTTAGGTAGTTACGTTATATATGTCTGGATAGGGAAAAAATGAGCTTTTTAGGTCATTGAAATGCCATTTTATGTCTAGCCTACTGTCAAATTAAAGATGAATTGTATTGTCATTGATCATACAAATGACTTTACGGATGTGGGAAGGGTTATGGTCAATTTTATATTTTCGCCTAACTTATCACTCCACATGTTCTCAAATCCCCCCAAAACTGACTAATCTTACTGGTACTTTAAATAATAAAGTGCAAGTGGTAAAATTTGTGAAAAGTCAGGATAGCACGACGAAACGAGGACTTGGCTATCATGAAAAAGTGAAATTGAATGTTGAAAGACTGAAACAATATAATATCACGGCTAAGCAACAAAAATTCAATAAGAAAAATAGATTTGCCAATGAGTCAAGTGCAAAAAGATTTCATAGAAATGAGGGAAGCTTTTCTAGAGCAAGGAAATTATATTCCACTCAACAGGATTGGTTGTGTGATTATAAACCATGGTACAAGTCCAGGTTTAATGCTTTTTATAGACCAAAGCAACAATCATCTTCCTATGTGCCAAAATACAAAGATGATTTTCAAAATCAGGCACCAAAAATATTTTCAAAAGTCAGTTATGATTATCGCGTCTCAAATGGTTACAAACCACCTTATCTTGGTTCAATGGGATCTAGGTGGATTTGGCTACCAAAAATTACTAACAGAAAAAGGCCCAAACAAGTATGGGTACCTAAAGTTAATTAATCTTTTTTGTAGGACGACTATAAATAAATTATATCTAGTGAATTTCAAGAAAATCGATGGACCAAAAGTTATCTTCGGAGGAAATCAAAATCATGGAATTACCAAAGGAGTTGGAACAATCAAGAGAAATGGATTAAAGATTGAAGATGTTTCATTTGTAGAAGGCTTGAAATTCAATTTGTTGAGCACTAGTCAATTTGGTGATAAAGACTGTGGAATTTTCCAAAGAAAATTGTCTAATAAAAAATGGACTCACAAATGAAGTTGTACTCACTGAAAAAAAAAAAATAAATAAATAAATAAAGAAGAAGAGAAAGAACATGTATGTTGTTGATTGGAGTACAAGCAAAGATTCAGTGTGCTTAATGGCCAGAAATTCAAGCAAATTGGGAATAGCATAGGAAGCTCAATCACTTAAACTTCAAGACTATCAATCAACTTGCAAAGAAGAATCTAGTTGAAGGTTTACTAGACATTATCTTCAAGAAGGACCAAGTGTGTGGGTTTTCTTCTCTATTATTACTAGGGATGGCAATGGGGCGGGGTGGATGCGGGGGAAATACCCCAAGCCCCCGCACCCGCATTCCCAACCCACTCCCCACACTCGCACCCGCGGCGATTTTGCGAATGCAGGTAATACCCAACCCGCAATTCTAATTATTAATATTACACTTAAATCTAATAAAAAATTTATACTACAATTCTAATTATCACATGGATTTTTTATAACTTTCAACATAACTCTAAAATTTAATAAGAGCCAATAAAGTTAATCCTTAATTGGAACTAAAACTATGTTGGTAATATAAATTGAATTAAGTGTTTACTCATTATATTATTTGTGTTGTTCCTATTCAATTTTAATTAACAAAAAACTACGAAGTTTAATTCATTATGCATCTTAATTATAAAATATACATAAACTTATATAATAAATGAATACTAATAACAAAATATATAAGTGCGGGTGCAGGTGCAGGGCGGGGATACCTCCCGCCGCACTCGCCCCCATACCCGCACGGGTATACAAAATTCCCCCCATACCCACACTCATTACCCAAATTGTGCGGGTATTTTAAAACTTGTAGGGACGGAAATGCGGGGAACTCATTAAGTGCAAGTAGAATTGTTATCCCTAATTATTACTACTTCATATGCTATGAAGTTCTGGGTTGTCATTGTTCCCCTTATTCTCAAGAGAAAATGGCACAAGGCATTAGACGACAAGGTATAATAACGTATATAGAAATGGAAACAAGAGATATAAATATACGTTTTTACAAATTTTTAAAAACTTGAGAAACATATTTTAAATTTTATTTAAATTAAAAATAATAATTTTGAAACTTAAAAATGGTAACCTTACCAAGTCCTCCAGACTTAACCACTTGACCTCGTGCTCCTAAAGTCATGCACAAACGCAGCGTCTATGGATGAATACTTCTAGATTAATAGGTGTATCCCATTCGAATGGGTCATATTGTTTTCTTTTTCTTGAATACTACCGATTCAATTAGGATGTAGTATCTGTTTATATATACTTTTTTAACTGAAACCTCTCATTTGAGAAGTTACAAATATACCACTCGACCACAAGAATTTTGACAATTAATTGATTATTTAAGTTATTCTATTACTATATAAAATTTCAACATCTTTGGCTTATGTTTCCGTTATGCCATGGCCCATGGTCGCCTTGATTGTTACCTTTTGTACAGAAAAATTATTGATGTTCAGATATGTTGATATTGAGCCTACAACCAACGGCTTCCGTTACGTGACGGCTATCATAGGCTAGCGAATTAAGGTGGACTTGGGTCCAAAGATACACAATTTACATATTAATGTTTACAATTTACCTTTTAAAAATTCATAATTTGTGATGATTTTTTTTTTTTTTTTGGGTGATAGGTAGCAACCTGACAGGTCCCGAGATAACAAAGAAATTAGCGAAATCTACTAGTAGCCACATTGCGAGTGGCCCTGATCGAGCAACACTCTCAACCCATCTGAATGATCCAGAATCGAAGGGCTTCATGGTCTCGATTGGCCCAGATTGGCTAAGAAGTCGATACACGATAAGTGTGTGATCTTGATATCCAGAAACTGCCTCATGAGAAAAAGGTAATCAGAGATTAAGGTTTCAGCTTTGGGGTTGGACCCTGACACTTTACCAATGGCTTGAATCATGACTTCGGAGTCAGTTTTAGCTATAACATTATTCTAAAGCCACGATTTATAGCAAGATGCAAGCCTACCCGGACACCTCAAAGTTCCGCTACAAAGCTTGAAGTACGGCCTATGTTGGAGGTGAAACCGGCGATACAGTCCCCGTGATGATTGCGTAGGAGACCGTCGGCGCTAGCTAAACCTGTGGCTTATGTTCTCCAAACATAGAAATACAATTTATGTTCTAATACTAAAAATACACAATTTAAAATCAGAGTCTACCTTAAAAGGTGGACCTGGCCCATGGTATAACAATTGTTATGGGTTGTACTCGTCCTCTCAATTTCTTTACAGCATTCATAATTTTTACAGCTCTAATTTTTGAGCTTGAGTTCAACTCCACTCAAACTTAATTAGAAAAAGTTCATTAATTTATTTTAACACTTTTTTATAGAGTTAATACCCAAAATCGTCTTCGACTATAGTGGTTTTTCTCAATTTTGTCCTAAACGACTTTGGTGACTTAATGTAGTCCCAGAGTTTTGTGTTTTTACTCAATTTCGTCCCAGACTTTTGTGTTTTTGCTCAATTTAGTCCCCCATTTGTTATTCCGTCCATTTGTTGTTAAATAAATAGACAATTCAGTAATTTTAATATTGGCATCCCTTTATTCATAGACATGTGAAGTGCGAAATCCCTCTTTTTTTACGAATTACTCCTAGAATCACTTCTAAAGCTACGAATATAAAATTTGATTCGTAGGTCTGAGAGTAACTCTGGGTGTAATTCGTGTAAGAAAGAGAGATTTCTCACTTCGCAGGTTGAAAGTAAAGAGAGGTCAATATTGATATTATTGAATTGTCCCTTTATTTAACACCAATTTGACGGAATAACAAATGGAGGACTAAATTGAGCGAAACACAAAAGTCTGGGATTATATTAGGTCACCAAAGTCGTTTAGGACGAAATTGAGAAAAACCACTATAGTCTAAGACAATTTTGGGTATTAACTCCTTTTTTATACAAAAAATTGTAATAATAAAAATTTTACAACTAAATATTTTAGCAAAACTTAATAATATATATCAATTATGATCATTTTATAAAATATAAATATAAACATATAGCTAAATATGTGATTATATTTTTAAAAACACTAAATTAAATTCACAAGTTGATAACTCAAGCATGCTTGAATTCAACTAGACAGACGAACGTAATTGAATTAAATTTAAATACTTTTCGCTTTAAACCCGAGTAACTAGACGCATGCCTTACCAACTTGGTTTGAGTCAAATCTAAGCTAATTTACCTCACCTCATTGTGCTCTTTTGCTAGCTAACTGCATACTCTTGGATAGTGATTGTGTGTTTCCCTCGTCAAGCCAAGACAATCACTTATTGGAACAAATATGGTTGATTAATTCCGATACTTGTTGGTTTCAGAAAAAGAAAATTCCGATACTTGTCAAAACCCTTTCATTCAGTCCATTGCACAAGATTTTATTTTATGCATATTACTTTTCTTGTATGATCTTTAGTTTACTTTTTTGATACACTGCATACTCTGTAGTTTACTTTTTTAAGTAGTTTACTTTTCTTGTATGATCTGTAAGCTATTGCATAGGAGCGAGTTTACGAACACACATAAAAAAAACATGGTTGACTAAGTCAATTCATTGACAAAATTTGTCATCAAGAGATGAATAAATATATGTTTTATCACCTATAAATAATGCTCCTCACTTGAAACATACTCACAACACAAACAGAAAGAGATGAGTATACATTGAAACAAGAAAGGCAGAAAAGTAGAGTGTAGAGAACAAAACAGTTGTATCTGTTAGGGCACAAACATATGACAGGGAGGAAGACAGACATGAAGCTCCCGTATGCGGCGTCGTTGTTGGGAGTAGCGATGATCGCATGTTTCAGAGTTGGCTTATGTTTCCCTGATGCCTTCGTCACCTGCTGCGACCCTCGGTTTCTGTTCTGGCTCGTCTTCAACTCTTGCGATCATCGCTACTCCCAAGAAGGGCAAAAAATGGAGTCAAAAATGCATTTCCCAGAGAGAAAGATGAAGAGCAACATGCAAAAGGTGTACTCATACGCATTCTTGGGAATGCTTGCATATTTCACAGTGAGGTTATGCGTACCAGGCCATCCACGGAAGATAGAGCAAATAGTGAGAAATCAACTTCGGGATGCCTTTGTTACCTCGGCTGTTAAGTTTCTCAACTTCTTCGTTCCCAAATTACATTGCACCCCTGCAACCAATGCTTTCTGTTATGTCGTGGCGATTCTGGGTCGTCTTCACTCTCTCGGTTCATCTGTAGTCACTGTTACATAAAGTACACGACAAAATAAGAAGGGCACTTTAAACTTATTGGAGCTTTTGACCATCAAGCCATTTGAGCGATGGCATTAGCTCAGACAGCAACAACTTTAACTTTTCATCAGAAACAGCATTTCCCGCAATATCTAGTTGTATCAAATTCAGATGCTTAAAGACTAAGAATGCTTCCCAGTAATCAATCGCATTGACAGCATCTGTTGAAAATTGCTCGATGTTCCAAGCACTTCCACTACTGTGGCACAGCGGAGAAGAACACAGGTACCTTCTTGTGTCAATTGAGTGTGCACCGATCTCATTGGATGAGATGTCCAATACTTTTAGCGATCTTAGCTGCCTTAGAGGATCCAAAGCAGTGAAACTGCAAAGTAAGTTCTTGCTTAGGTTTAAACAAGAGAGTAACTGCATTGCCTCCATGCCTGCACCAAAATTCATAGAACATGGTATTAATATCATTTTCAATTTAAACATTGAGAAAGAACAGGCAATGTTTCCTGCTACACCTTACGCCATAAATTGATGAAAAGAAGGAATTGCCTTTAAATCAACATGCCACGAGTTCTATAAGTAAGAGCGGGAGTTTTGTACCTTCAATTGACCGAAGTTGGTTGCAGCTAAGATCTAGGATCTGGACCCACAAAAGTTTTTCAACACACCCAACTCGAGAAAGTGAGAGGTTATTTAGCCGCAGACATGAATAATTATAAATGATTGAAGAAGATGGTTCTCGATATTGATGGCAGCGTTCCAGCAAAGACTCTTGATTGGAGAATAACTGCAAAAGGACATTATGAAGATAAACTCAACAACTGAACACTCTCTTTAGAAGATAATTCAAAAAAAAAAAAAAATCCAATTTCTATATATTGTCTCTCTTCAGAATCTCACTCAATTAGCCCTCATTGCAGTTCATTTGCCAAGACAAACATCTGCGCAATAAAAAGCAGTTGATCATCAACTTTAGCCCCCACTCAATATGCCCTCTAGTAAACATCAGGTACTATGCTTAGTTGGTCCCAGCTTATTTTTGAACTTATTTACACCAAAAAGCCAAAGCTGAGCCAAACTGTAAAAATATAAAAAGGATTTTAAGTTCAATTAAGAGGAAAAAATCTTTTTTTTTTAAAGCTCAAAAAGAGCCTCTTTTTGAATAAGCCAGAAACCTAGACAAACGAACACATAACAAGGAGTTCTCTTTTTCCACAGCCAAGGTGAACTCTAACATTCAACAACAAATCATGCCTAAGTGGTTAACAGAACAAGAAAATCACCTGTCTTAGTAAGACAGAGCTGTATTCATCCTTATAGTACTGAATGTGTGGTGGATCCAATTCCATTAAATCATTGTAAAACTGAAGAACTTCTCCATAGTGGTTGCCAGCATTTGAGTCATTATATGACATCAATTGCTCACGTGCCATCAACAATCTTGCAAGTGTCAACTTTCCAATTTTACTGCAACAGAAGGAGAAATTCATAGAGAAGATCAATTAAAAATTACAGCTTGACGAACATTCCAACTTGCACAAGTGCATAACAAATAAAGGCACAGGGCATACCAGTTCACTGATAACAATAACTCCCTGCAGTGAGCTATCTCATTGTCGAGTGTCTGAATATTCCAATCCAAATTCCTTGCTTTGTCATCTATAGGCATTCTCATTTGATAGGATGAGTTAACTAAAATTGACTCTGGAGAAACAGTTTCATATGTGCAAAAGTTTTCCTCTTTCCAAGAAATTCTCTTTTCATTTTCCATTTCTATATGTTCTGAATTGTAAGGTGGTACATGCACTGTAAACATTAGTTGAGCAACAGCACCACAGTAAACAGAGCCACTTAGAGAGACGATGCCTTGGGAATGGGAAATGTTGACCTTTACATGATAAGACTCTAAAGATTGGACCCTATCTGGGAACTTCAGGTATGTCAACCAGGCTTGGGCACACTCAATATCATTTCCTGACAGTGGTCTCCAAACAAGATCTGTATTCAGATTACATTCACATTCAACCTTGACTGTCGATGGGTTTATATTTTTAACAGCCTCACTGAAGTAGAGAACGAGGGGAAGTGTTCTAGCATTAGACTTGGAACCGGCTAAAGGTGACAAAATAAAATTATCCAGCAAACCATCTCTTGTCAAATGAAGACTAGAGCCATGAGGTGGCCATGAAGAAACCAACAAAGTTGTTAACTTCACTGTCTGATCAAGAAGCCATAGATGATAAAACCAACCACTTTGATCATCTGGATCTGTAAAAAGAGCATGGCGGACGAACTCAAGCTCTTCTGTCAAAACATTCTCCTTAGGAGAATATTCTTTTACATTCTCCTTTAGCAAGCGAATCAGAAGAGCACTGTCAAAAGTCATTTGAACAAAAATTACGATAAGAAATCCTTTTTGGGGAGAGGTTGACACATAAATATTTATTTAACAGCCTCCAGGATAAAATTTTCTAAACAGCATCTAAGAATCAAACTGCTGCATTTTGATGGGATGCCAAATACGGATCTTGATGTATAGAATGTTATCAGTATCAAATACATTGTGTTTTTTGGGTTAATTTAGACCCCTTATCTTTAGTGGGTGATAGAACCATAGAAATAGAAGATCAGAACTATTAAGAAAAATATGTTAAACTCTATCTAGGATGGTTTAGTCACAGTTAACACTGTGATATTAACCCTAAGCTATGATATGAAAAATCCCAGTATACCTTCTGTTGTGCCAAGCAGAATAATTGCTAAAATTATCATATATCATGTCCGTTGTATATTGTAGTTCCTCCTCATCTGGAATGTTCTTCAATGCCGTTATAAACCTGAAAGAGCAGAGTAAAGAAAATGACTTGAGATGCCACAGTCTGTCTCACTCGCATCAATTTTAAAAATGCAGGGTACCTCCTATGATTCCAAGCATGGAAATTCCGAGAATCTGCCTTCTGGAACTTGGCCAGAAGCCGTAATTCCTGATCTGTTGAAGAATGCCCTTTGCTTAGAACCCACTTACGATGATACCATGCTCCATAAGACTTATAATTGCTCTTCAATGCATTCACCACCTAATCCAAACATTACATAAATCACAAATAAAATACAGAATAAGGCAACAAGCATATTGCAGCCTATAATCCTCACCCAACCATCAGATTTGAAACAGCAACTAACACTTCCATTTAATAAACTTTCAAGCTTCAACTAACACTATCCAATTAAACCAATTACATTTTTTAGTCTTTATCAGTCCTAGTGATTAAATCCTTCATGTGTCAGCTTCTAACTAAATCTCTTTATTTCAAAATCAAGCTAACAATTTTCTGCTCTCCTACGAAGGGTGGAATAAACATACTAGTTTGAGTTCTTCACCGAGAATTGCTTTGATAGACTCGGCATTATTCTCAGTCTCAGATTGATTAAGTCGGTGATCTACAGCCAGCTTCCGGTAATTCCAAGCAGTGTAGTGCTCCGGATTGGCCTCGAGTAGCTTCGCGCTAAGTTCTAGCGCTTCCTTATCATAACTGATGAAAATAAAAATAAAAATTACAATAAATATTCACCAAATGAGAAACTCAAAAGCCACTGAACATCAATTATAGATTTACTTGAATTAAGAAATAATTCTTAGGGAGGTAGTATACATTTTATTGTGATGAAAGTGGATGAACTGAGTTTGAAGAGATCGAAGCTTGGCGGCTTTGATCGCTGAAGCTTCTTGCTCTTCTTGGCTTGGAGCTCTTCGTGGTCTTCCATGCATCTTTTCACACAAATTGTGGCCTAGGATCGGAGAAAGAGAAGATTCCGGCGACCGGATTCAGTGGAAGCTTCTTCTTTTTTAAGTTTTGTAGAACAAAGAACGCCAATGAATGGGAAATTTTGGCAAAACGATATCAAATAAAATGATGGATTCCCATTGCCCTTGTACTTTGGCTTAAACTTTGTTTACATTTTTATAATTTTAGCAACTTTCTTTGAATTCTTTTCAGACATTATTGCATTAGCACTCCACTTATTAATTATGAAAAAAATTACATAAAATTGAAACTAAATCATTTCAATTAAATTTATATGAAAATTTAATTTGAATACTTGTTAATTTTTTTATATGGTTTATTGAAACGGTTTTGACATTTATGTAAGGATTACATTTGTAACCTATATATGTTGTAATCCCATGTAGAAGAGTACGGCTGAATAAAATAAAAATTACACTCTTTCCTTACTGCTTTTTCTCCAGTTCTCTGTCTGTTCTTCACGAGCTAAGGCCTACCAACAAACTTGCAGTTTAACACGTTATCAACAAGCTCCGGTGAACGGTAACTTACAATTTCTTTTAAGTATGTTTGTTTATGTATGGCTGTTTTCGTATGATTATATACATATTTATGCTAGCCTAAAATCATATATGATCATATATGGATTAATATTCTGCACAAGAACTTGTTTGCATATTTCTGCTAGCCTAGATATAAGGATTAATATTCTGTTAATGTATATTATATGCCTTGTTTGTGCCTTTAAGCTTTCTATTCCAAGCTTGTTCCCCTTTCCTGTATACAAATCTTTTTTTCTAACATTGCTAGACAATCCTTTTAGCATATCATCCCAAAAAAAAAAAAAGAAAAAAAAAAAAAATGAAGTGAACAATTTTCTACTGCATAGTTCGAAACAATCGGAATTTTTTTTGCTGCATTTTTCGAAATACATAAAGTTTGTTTAAATTTTTTCTTTCCCTCGAATCTTTGAACCGGAAAAATTAAAACAAACAAAAAAACGCAATTTTTTTTATAACCCTTACCTGTTCTGCTCAACGGCGGCTTTGTGCGATCTACGATCGGAGATGACGATCGGCGTCCCAAAACGTCACGGCGGCAACGATCGGTGCACGGCGGCGATGTGGTATGTTGGACGGCGTCTAAGCTGCGGATCGACGGAAGCCGAGGTGGGCGGAGCCGTTGCTGCGGCGAAGACAACCAGCGGCTGGAGGAGGCGGGTGACGGCCGGCTTCCTCCCGCGGTAGTGGCGACCGGCGGTGGCTAGCGGCGACCGGTGATGTTTTGCGAAGACAATGGCCGCGGTAATGGTGATCGACGACTCTCACGGTAGTCTGCGGCCGATGGGGTCTCTTCGATTTTCTCGCTTGCGTAAATGAAAAATTAAAGAAAAATTCAAATAAACCATCCCACTATATATCAAAATGCAATTAGACCAACTAAAAAAACATTCAATTCAATCCTGACACTTATTAAAAATGTGTAATTAACTAATTTGACCTATAATATTATAATAACATGTTACCTTCAAATCACATGTCACATGGATGCCACATAGATTAAAATAACTAAAAAAACATTCAATTCAATCCTGACACTTATTAAAAATGTGTAATTAACTAATTTGACCTATAATATTATAATAACATGTTACCTTCAAATCACATGTCACATGGATGCCACATAGATTAATATTTTAAAAGATTATTAAAATAATAAATCAAAATAATTATATTAAAAAACAAAACAAAAAAACAAAAAACAAAAAAAAAAAAAAAAAAAAAAAAAAAACAGACTGCCATGGCTTCTTCCGTTCTTCGTCCATGTCAAACTGGACGGAGCCGGAGCCATCCAGTTCGACATGGATGAAGTAGCTTGCGGGTTTCTCCGTCCAATTTGGACAGAGAAATCAATCAGCTTCTCCATCATATCGAACGGAGAACTCGACGGTTTCTTCGTCCGAAATGGATGGACTCCGTCCGATTTGAAGGGATCAACCATGGCTTCTCCATTCTTAACTTATAGTGAAGCCGACGACTTTTTTTAATTATTTTTATTTTTAGTTTATTTTTATTTTTTAATGGAATGCGACATAGGATGTCAAGCAATCAAAATTGACTGGTTACCTGTTGGTAATCTATTAATTATGTTAATTGCACATTTTTAACTAGTATAAGAGTTTAATTGAATGTTTTTTTAGTTTGAGGGTCTAATTGCATTTTGACATATAGTTGGAGGGCTTCTTTTTTTTTTTTTTTTTTTTTTTTTGAAAGGAGCCAGGGTGGCATTTTATTCAAAATAGTGCGAAATTATAGCTGGTGGGAGTGAATCCCAATACATAGCTGTAGACTGAATAATAGCTGAGGTAGCTAAAGCATGTGCTAAATAATTCTCTGATCTAGGAACAAAAACAACTAAATAAGAATGTAAAGAAGAAATCAAATTCCTGCAGCTATCTATTGCATAGCCAATATATGTGCGATCAGGACGAGCCGTAGAAGTTAGATATTTCTTGACCGTTAAACAGTCCGTGTGTAGCTCCACAGAATCCTCACCACGATCCTTTAGCCAAGACAAAGCCTCCTTACATGCAAATGAAGCAACTTGGGAGCGAAGAAGCATAGGCAGAGATGTATCCACCATTTCCATCCAATAAAATTGCTCCTACCGTGGCCGTATTTGACGAGTGGTGATAGCTCGCATCCACATAACATCGGCGAGTGGGCTGTCCCAGCAGTGGCGCGGCATGGTGTTCGGCAGCAGTGAGAGTCGCGGCAGCTTGCGTAGCAGCGGCAGTGTGGTGTTCGGGTAAGTGGTGCACGGCGCGCCAAGCTTGCAACGTGGAGACAGCCGTCATCAAAATCTTCTTTGGCATTGGTACGTAGGCGCCCCATACCGCATTATTCCTTGCCCTCCAAATGTGATATAAAATTGCAGTTGCATACATCAAACCATCAGTGTCTAGATTATCCAAGATCGCATTAAACCACTCATAAAAAATATTCGACTGAATAACAGGGATTGGGAGGTTGGCTTGCCCCCATACAGTCCTGGCAAAATCACATAAAACTAATGCATGCATTGTATCCTCATGCACCATTCCACACATGGCACAGTTCGGTTCAATATCAACTCTCTTGTTAAGCAGGTTCATAGTAGTAGGCAGAATATCACTTAGGGCTCTCCACAGAAAGGTTCTCCATTTGGGGGATTTTAAGTTTCCACAACATCTGCCATTTACTAAAGGTGGTACTATCCGTATTATCATATCTCCCAACAATGCATCTATATCCACTCTTCACAGAATACATCCCTCTAGGATCATCATACCAATACCATGTGTTTGCATATTCTGGTGATACCGGAATCTTCATTATTCTGGATACATCCTCTGGCAAAAAAATATCAGTTAAAATTGAGACATCCCATGTCCCAGTATCCTGGTCAATCAAACCTACCACTCGTGCATTAGCCAATTGTGGAGGCATCCCCGTTTGGATCATTGGTTCCTGCTCATCCTGTAGCCAGGGGTGATCCCATATTTTTGTATCTTGCCCATTTCCTATCCTCCGCCGTACTCCACTACAAACCAAACTTTTTGCTGCCATAATACTTCGCCAACAAAAGCTTGGATTATTTCCTAGGGACGCTTCTGAGAAAGTATCCTTTGGATAATACCTGGCTTTATAGACACGCGCTACTAGGGATTCTGGCTTTGTTAGTAGTCGTCATGCCTGCTTCCCCAACATTGCTAAATTAAAAGCTCTGGGCTCCTTAAAACCCAAACGACCATACTTCTTAGGGATACATAGCATGTCTCATGCCTTCCAGTGAATTCCCTGATCAGTGCCTGAATTCCACCAATACCTGTTCATGGTTCTTTCAATAGAAGAAACAACATTCATAGGAAGTAAAAAACACACTCATTGAGAAGGTGAGCATAGATTGAGCCACACTTTTCAACAAGATTTCCTTACCAGCCTGAGAGAGAAGCTTCTTATTCCATGATCCAATTCTCTGCTTGATATTTTCCTCAATATAAGAGAAAGCTGCCTTCCGATTTCTACCAATAAAGGATGTGAGTCCCAGATATTTCCCAAAATTCGGAGCCTGTACCACTCTCAGTTCCTGCGCCACAATACCTATGTCCTCCTCAATAGTATTCTTGCTATAGAAAATACTGGACTTATGATAGTTAACTGTCTGCCCCGATAAATTCTCATATGCAGTTAAACATTCTTTTATCACCCCAGCTTCCTGCATATTGGCTTTAAAAAATAACAAGCTGTCATCTGCGAAAAATAAATGGGATATTGGGGGGCACCCCGAGCCACTCTGCATACATGTATTCTATTACATGATTGTGCCTGCTGCAACAGCATGGAGAGCCCTTCTGCACAGATAATAAACAGATATGGAGACAATGGATCTCCGTGTCTCAAACCGCGAGTAGGTGTGACTGGATCAGTACGAGAGCCATTTACCAAGAACCTGTATGATACAGTAGATACACATAACACAATTAGCTCCACCCACTTCTTATCAAACCCCATAGATAATAGCATCCCGTGTAAAAAAGACCATTCCATACGGTCATACGCCTTACCCATATCCAATTTTAGGGCAGCCCAGCCAACAACTCCACATTGTTTCTTGTTTAGATAATGAACAACCTCCGCTGCTATCAATATATTATCAGTTATGAGTCTATCGGTTATGAACGCACTCTGCGAATCCGATATAATCTCATCCATCAAAGGTTTCATCCTGTTAGTAATAACCTTTGCCATTACCCTGTAGATCACATTGCTTAGGGCAATTGGCCTGAAATCAGACACTCTTTCCGGGGTTTGTTTCTTCGGGATTAACACCACACCAGTTTCATTGAGAGCAGTCGGGAAACTGCGAGTTTCTAGACAATTGATTATAAAATATGAAACATCCCCCCCTACCACATCCCAAAAATGTTGATAGAAGCCCGGATTCATTCCATCCGGGCCTGGTGCCTTATCAGGATACAAAGAGAATAAAGCACCTTTTATCTCATCCATAGTGAAAGGGCGGTTTAAAGATTCATTCTGTGCTGGAGTGACACGCGGTGTAATGTTATTAAAGAAATTCTCCCCATCTTTCGGGTTACCCAAAGCGAAAATATTCTCAAAATACTGCAAAATTATCCCTCTCATAGGCTCCCCTTCCACCCAATCCCCATTATTATTCATAAGCTTATCAACGATATTTTTCTTTCTACGGTGAGAGGCATACCTGTGAAAGAACTTGGTATTGGCGTCAGCACCCTTGAGCCAGTGTTGCTTGGCTCGTTGTCTCCAGAAGGCATCCTCCTGTGTCTCAATACGGCATAAGAGCTCCTCCAGGCGCTGGTACTCAGTCAACGAGACTGGGTCCGTTTTTCCTTTGAGACGCAACTGCTCTTTTCGGAGATTCATAATCTGCTCCCCGAACTTATGAAAACGATCACCACCCCAGCGAGATAGGCGAGAACCACAGAACTCAATACAATTCTGTAACCCACGATTCCTTCCTTCTTCCCAGGCTTGTTCCACAACATTCCAGCATCCCTCATCATATAACCATGCATTCTCAAAACGGAAGCCCCTCTTACCAGCCCCACCCCTCCTAAAGGAGTCATGGATGCTTAGAAAGAGAGCCGTGTGATCTGACTTGCGAGTTATTAAGTTAGACACTCTCGCACCTGGAACAACCTCACGCCACTCATCCGTGACCAAGACTTTATCCAACCGTTCCTCAATCCAGTCAACTGTTCCTTTCCCCCTTTCCCACGTAAACGGATACCCCTGCATAGCCATCTGAGATAACCCACATTCCTCAATAGTTTCCCCAAAACCGCGTAAGAGACTATCCGGATGTGGATTTCCTCCTCGTTTCTCGCGCTGGTATAGAAGATCATTAAAGTCCCAACGACCACCCATGGCAGGTTAGACTTGGACGCCAAAGACCTTAACATCCCCCATGATTCATTACGCCTGGTTCGCTGTGCCAATCCATAAAAGCCAGTCATGCGCCACTTTGGAAAACCATGCATATTAACCTCAATATCAACATGATTGTCCGAATAGCTGAGAAGACTAGCCGTATAATTCCTCGGCCAAAATAAAGCTAAACCACCCTTCACACCATTACTATCCACACAAAACAATCCATCAAAACCTAGTTGGACACGAATACGTTCAACTTGTGTCCGTCCGATCATGGTTTCCATCAAAAAAATAAAGTCGGGTTTCTTACGGGATGCAAGGTCCAGAACTTCACGAACTGTCCGTAGATTACCCAAGCCACGGCAGTTCCGTACTCATTGGTTCGGGCGGGTCTGGGAACCAGAAC